ATGCTGTTTTTTTAAATAAGGGTTTGATAAGGCATCTAAAATAAATTAATTAAAAATAAACATAAATAGAAAAGTAATTAAAAAGAAAAGTAAAGTTAATTAAAGCATTTGGAAAAATATTAAAAAAAAAAATCTGGAAAAAAAATCTCACAATAGAGGCCCCCCCCCAACAATTGGCATGTGACTGAATTAGGAGCAAGAAATTTCTCACAATAGGGTACCATCTCTTTAATCAGGTGCAAACATTATATATATACATGATATAATAAACTCACCACTCTTACTAGATCAGAAAGAAATGGACTGTAACATTAGGCAAGATATATCATATGATTCGGTCTACCACATTCACTTAGTCGAGTATGAAAACCTTGGTGACTGTTTCCAGATTGGTCTCAAAAACTAGATCCGACAATATTCTACCATGTCCAAGAAAAAAAATTAGAGCATATAGTGTAGTTCTTTCCCCGAGTAACATTTTCTTATTGGAAACGACACTTTTCTGATTTTTGTTGGCAACGATGACCTACTAGGATGGCAACCGAATGTTAGCAACCCATCCCAAACAAATGTCTGAATCAGTGAATTCCAGTGCTAGAGCTCGTGATGGAACAGTTCGGAAATGGAGCTAAAACCTGTGGATCCCTCTTAAGATGTTCGAAGTGTATCCGTATGCATATTCACAATATATGCAACTATGAACTAATGTGGTACATCCAATCATCAACCATTCCCAATTTCACCAGACATGGATTGCCAGAATCAGGTGGTGGAATTGGGGATGGATTCTTACATATATATATACTATATATACTACATATATACTATATATATATACTATATATATATATACACCTGTGTATCCATAAAGATTGTGCTATACTCCATATACATATATATATATATATATATATATGGATGGTGATAATCCCCTAGATATCAGGTAGAATAGCCTTCAGAACCAATCAACAGGGGTCAATTGGTAAACATACTTCAGGTAAAACCAAGTATACAACAACATCAAGCCATATAACAACAAATCGACTATAACACCAAATAGATCCAAATAGAATATGCAAAAGATTGTCTATATCAGGTTATATATATATCTATTGGATTGTTGAGTTCAACACAACCTATTTTTGTCCAAAAATAGATCCAATAGATTTGGTTCTATTCGCAAGTCTATGTTGGTTATGCAAGGTGAGGCCCCATAGCTAAGTTCCCTTATATAACGTGGTTCACGTTTGCGTTTATGGATCAATATACCTATAGTATCCTAGGGTTTATGGGTTAATGGGTTTATAATATACCCATAGTTAACATTTGGATTTATGGAGAATTTACTTATATTATCTCATATTCCCTATGGAACCAAACACCTCCTGAGAAGGTACAAGACACCCCCCAGTCATCATACCCTAAACACTTCCTAAGAAGGTACGATAGGGTATAACTTCAGGATTGGGGATATCCCAGCATTGTAATCCCATTATAGTCCCAATGTTTTGTAGTTACCAACTAGGGTCTATGTGGAATATACGTATATATTATTATTTTCTATTATCCTATATTATCCTATGTTCAATGGATTGCTTTAAGGGAAAATTGAGACCGGAAAACCCCATGATCTTCATGGGAAAATCTATGATTTCCGGTGAAGATTTTCCCAAACAAACCAATCCATTGATATGTTGGTTCATGTTTTTTTGTACTTGGTGGCTCATCCCACGAATCGTAAGTGGGTTAGTTCACCCCAGTTGTAAGTGGATTAACCCTACTTATCCCGTTTATGACTGGGGTTATAACCCACTTACGATTCGTGGGATGAGCCACCAAGTAGGACAACTTAGACAAACAACTGCAGCGATGTTCCAAGTCACCCTGGAGGCTGCCACTTCCTGCCATGCTTCGTAGCCGCCCAAAATTACGTCCTCCTCCGCCGGAGGAAGCATTGGTTTTTGATCATCTACAATCTATTACATATATAATTGATAATCCATGTGATTTCATGGTTTGTAAAAGAACATATATATATATGATATATATATATATGATATATATATGATATATATATGATATATATATATATATATATGATATATATATGATATATATATATATATATATGTGATATGAAATGATATAAAAGATGTGATTTGATATGATATAATATGATATGATATGAAATATGTATATATATATATGATATATATATATATATAGGACATATACATGTATATAATAATATGCATGAATGAATATATATATAACAATATATATATACTGGGAATATGCCATAGATATCCGTAGATGATGTGTATAACTCGCCAATTCCGTTGTGAACCAGGAGTTTGTTTTGTTTCCTTGAATTCTTTGGTTCAATGAATCGTCTACGTGTCTGTGTCTACCCCCTTCGCTGTTCATAGAATTGGATGATGGGAACATTTACAGGAAACCCCTATATTTGATGGTAAAAACCATGCTTTCCTATAGATGTTCCCTTCAACCAATCCATTTTCGTACGAAAAATCTCCTCCTCTTCGCTCCGCCGTTGTTTCAGCTCCTCTCCGTGTGAGGACTCCTGGAGGCCGTGGTGCCCAGGAAGCCCCCAAAAAAGGTTGGCCACTGGATGGTGACCCCAAGTTTTAATCCCCTAATCAACTATGATATACCCTCTGGTTATTTAACATAGCCATGAAAAATCCCCATTTTTAATAGGTAAACCATCTATAAATGGGCCATTTTCCATAGCTAAGTTAAATAACCAGAGGGTATATCATTGTTATATTATCTTAGTGTTGTTAAAACACACATTTTAATTGATTTATAATCCCCATGAATACTATAGTTTTATTGCGTTTTATTCCCCTAATCAACCCTAGTTATTGGACTTATTTGCACCAACTTAGCCGACTATGGGGCCCCATCCTGCACCTACCACAAACCTCTCCGTAGATCTTCGTTCCCAACATGTTGCCCCACGATACCGGCCCTCCATAAGCTAGGACTTTACACATGGTGCTGCAATCCAGTGTTCAAAAACCATATCAATATAGATTTTTATACATATTGGACTACATCTAGATGTATTATATATATAATATATATAACGTATATATATATATAATATTATACAGGTACACCCCAACCCGGACGTTGCTCCACACTTTCAATCGTCATAACCATAATCATAATCATAATCATCATCATCATCATCACATCAAGATCATTATCAAATTAAAAGTTGCCACCCCCTCTGAACAATATGTTGACTGGGGTAATAACAACAACTTTATCTTTATGAGGGTTCAAAGTTCGCCACCCCCTCTGAACAATATGTTGATTGGGGTAAAAGCATCAACTATATCTCCATAAGGGATCAAAATTCGCCACCATCTTCGCCACCCCCTATGAACAATATGTTGATTGGGGTAATAAGTAAGTAATAACATCAAATTTATCTGCATAAGGGATCAAAATTTGCCACCCCCTATGAACAATATGTTGATTGAGGTAATAACATCAACTTTATCTTCATATCCACCTGAAGTCAGACGCGGCGCAACGTCAGGGTTGCAGCGTACAGGTATCATATCAGCAGCTCGTTTGGTTTTATAATTCTTTATCCATTCCCTCCGATTGCAGGTTTGTGCCACCAAGTGAGGCCCCCTTTCCACCAGGCGAAGAAAAAACATCTTGGTGATTTCATATATCCCATATCGAATTTCTGGTGCAACAATCATTGAATTACAATAATGTAAGTAATATAATCTAATCATTTAACACAACTGGTTGGTGGTTTGAACCCATCTGAAAAAATATGAGTTCGTCAGTTGGGATGATTATTCCCAAGATATGAAAAAAAAGTGCCAAACCACCAACCAATAAGTCACAATAGTTATATGCTGACTGCCAATATCTTTGATCCCGCGAAATCGATGGTCAAATTCCATGGAATCCCCACAGTCCCAATTCATCCCCTCAAATACTGGGTTTTGCCATTTTACATCTAAGCCTCCGTAAATATGCGTAAATTACAATATTACACTAACCTGAAACTTGCGGCTATTTGGGGATGATTCCCCGAATCCTATAGCCATGATTCCAGGGTTCGGTCACGACGTGAGGTCGTCATACCCAGATCTGTTCGCCAAGACGCCAACATGCGAAGTAAGACTTTGGAGATGCTCGGCAAGCGATAATCAATCTTCGCGCCGCAGGCGGCTGGGCACCTAGTGAGACTCATTGGACTTACAAAGTGGGTCAATAATTTGTTAGCAATTTAGCCCATCAGGATCCAAGTGAAACCTGGGAAATCTCCTCCTTCATGGATTCTCCTAGCTAATCCTAGCAGTTCCGGGATATCATCCCATCTGGGGGGAGACTTTCCGGTAAACTCATATAGCTAAGATATGGATGACCTGATTTAGTTCCATGATTTCTACTAAAAATGCTGCTGTTCCATATAGCAAGCTCTTCCTTTACTGGAGGCTATCTCCAATCGCCCCTTGTTGGCGAGACCGGGCAGCTTGAGGGTCTCCTATCTGACCCCAAAATGGAGCTTTGTGTCAACCAACAATGGTGAGAAAATGTGCGAATACTGCTTTTCTACCCACGCAAAGCATCACTAATCCTACCTAAAATATCTTAGATACCCGCAAACCGTTGTTTCTTTGCTGATGAATATGTTCCTATCAAAGACAAACATACCAATGTTCACCTACCAATCACAGATGATGACCCGGAAAAAATAAACAGCCAATAATGTATACAATATTAGACAATATTAAAGACGCACCATGGCATCTTACTATCCTCCGCTAATGAACATCCCCATGAAAACCTCAATATTAACAATCATATGGTTGATCATATATATATATATGATAATCGATTAATATTCCATACAATATCCCTATGATATCACCATCTGATACCCCAATATTAACCATGAACCAATGGCTTTCAGTTCCACTGCTTTCAGACATTTCCACCAATCACCTCGGCTTTGGAGCGCCATCATCCAGTTTGGTGACTGCCCACAAACGCAGGCACTGCTGACAGAAGGACCTCAGTGACCAGTCGCGAACCTCACAGGCTGGGTCTACAACGACGACTCATGAATTGTGGAGGCCCTCATCTGCAGTTGAATGGCTACAAAGATAAAGACATACAAGGTGAGGCCCTGAGTTTTAAGTTGTAAGATGTTGTAAGACTATATATATATACTGTATACCCAACAAAAATAGTTATATCAACTTTATATTCCCCATATTTTTTTTTAAATAAACCCATCAGCAATAGTTATCTCCCCCATAAACCCAGGAACCTGACCTTTTTCCCATCCCAATCCGTGGGGTCTCCAGGTCTCGGGACTCGCCACAGCACGGGAGGGTCACTGGATCCAACAGGAGTTCCGAGCAAAGTTCGCAGAGCCATTCCGCAGGCGCCATGGCTGCATGGGGATGGGCAGAAGATGTTGTAGAATCATATGAATTTATGGTTAATTTATGGTTAATTTATGGTTAATTTATGGTATCATGGTATTTCTAGTATATTAAATTATGGTTAATATGTTCAAATATGTTCACCAAATGTTCACCAATCATGAACCTGTTCAAATATCATATTTGATCTATGTATATATGATCACCACCGTTTTAAGGTGGGGGGACATACCCAAAATGTAAGCTACATGTTTCAAAGTGTTCTTGAGGGGGGCCTTGAACATGTAAGCTTACATTTTGAATGTATTTTGAAGACCCTCCCCACAAAAACGACACCTGGGGGACGTTCAGGGACCAATTTTACATTTAAGGGGCAAAAAATGTATCTTACATTTTGGTATGGTCCCCCCCTGAACAGTACCCTTCAAGGGGTGGTGATTATACATTCATCATGTTCAAATATGTTCAAAGATCTTCAAACATGGAGAAAAATGTTCACCAACCATGCATGATACCCAGCTACGTCACGCCAGGCAAGATGCTGCAGCCACTCCTCCTCGAAAGGTTCGTTCAAGAGAGCCGCGCTCAGAGACATGTAACTGGACCTGAAAGCCGGAACAGGAGGATTTCCGGATTCTGGCAGCACGATTTTTTTCTGGTAATTTCTACAGTTAAAGCCCTAGAAACCAGTGATTTCTATGGTCATAAATGGGGTAATCATTCCGTAAATGTTGTTGTAACCGACTTATAACTGGTATTTCGGGCCATAAATGCAAATTTATACCTTCCATACTTCAAAAAGAAAGTAAAAAAACATGATTCTGAGTATGACACAGTATTTCTACAGTTATGGCCATTTATCAGTTATAAGTACTGAACTAACCCCATTTATAGAATGTTTGTTATCCCATAGAAATCACCAGTTATAACTTTCATAAATGGCCATAACTGTATCTTTATGGTAGTCAACCAACAACTATCTATGTGGTAATGAACCACCCAACTATGGAGGTTTCCCATGGGGATTTCCCATGAAATATACAGTATTTCCTCACTGTAGCTATTCTCTTCATAGAAACAGCCCATGTCTTCACGGCACATCTCCGTTGGAATCACCGCTCGTCTCGGCTCGGCGATCCAGGAGTGGAATCTGTGGTTTTTCGGGATCGAATTGATGTCCTATTCTCTCACGATATGGTTATACCCTCTGGTCTGGTTATTTAACATAACCATGGTATAGATGGCCCAAAAGTAACACATATTCATGTGGAAGGTTTACCCTCTGGTAAACGTTTACATAACTGATGGGAAAATCACCATGCTATTAATGGGAAAACTCACTATAAATGGTCATTTTCAATAGCTGTATGGATTATTTAACACTGCAGTGTTCCAATATTAACATAGAACACTCCAGAGAAACCATGGTGAAAAGTAGGGAAGATGATATCATATATTTGGTATCATACAATTGACACTGGGAGTTTAGTATACCCTCTGGTTATTTAACATAGCCATGGTATAGACCCATAGAAAAAGATGGTTTACCTATTAATAGCATGGTGATTTTCCATGGCGAACTGTTAAACATGGCCCATTTATAGATGGTTATAATTTGGTTATTTTACCCTCTGGTAAACGTTTACATAACTGATGGGAAAATCACCATGCTATTAATGGGAAAACTCACTATAAATGGTCATTTTCAATAGCTGTATGGATTGTTTAACACTGCAGTGTTCCAATATTAACATAGAACACTCCAGAGAAACCATGGTGAAAAGTAGGGAAGATGATATCATATATTTGGTATCATACAATTGACACTGGGAGTTTAGTATACCCTCTGGTTATTTAACATAGCCATGGTATAGACCCATAGAAATAGATGGTTTACCTATTAATAGCATGGTGATTTTCCATGGCTATGTTAAATAGCCAGATGGTAATGGTTATTTTAACATATTGGAATATTAATCTGGTAAAATATGGTTCATTTTGAATATAACCTAATATAACTATTTGAATCATTTTAACTATAATGCTTCATTATTCACCAATATTCCATATTCATATTCCATATGTTGAATTTATTCCATATTCATCCATAATGGTGAATATATTCTCGAATATCACTGGTTATTTATGTTATCATTCACTGGTTATACGTCCTGTTACCTGTAACAACTATCTATGGAATATAACTATGGAATATATCTGGTTATTTTCAACCATAATGGCTCATATCAATGGTCATAATGGTTAAAAAAAACATTGCATATTCAACCATTGATATGAACCATATAACTATTATGAATAGCTTATGATAGTTAATGGTCATCAATTGGTTAAACATAAACCATTTATATAACCATTATAACCCTTGATGAATATGAGAGATCCATCTAGCACAATGCACACCATATCCGTTTGGATCCGATCTCCACTGGGATACGATCCGGTGAAACCACAAACACTGGCTCCAAATGGCTGGTTGGTGGTTGAGCCTACCCCCCTGAAAAATGATGGAGTGAAAGTCAATGGGAAGGATGACATCCCATATATGAAATGGAAAATAGAAAAATGTTTGAAACCACCAGCCATAGTCATATTAGGAAGCACGTTAGTAATCAGTCAATATAATATGGTAATCAATTATTATAATCAATCAACCAGTAATCATATTAGTAGTAATTATATCAATGGTTTCTAATAAGCCAATAATATCGGCGTAATCATATTAGTAATCAATCCCGATCAATGATTACGAATCATGACTAATCCCCTGGTTTTGTGGGTTCAACAGTTCAACATATTACTGTCCATCAGGTACTAACCACTTTCAGACGCCCAACAACCGCTGCTTGGTTGTACACATATGTATATATATATATACATGTACTTGGGCCATTCAAGAGACACCTATCCCATCTCATTATACACGTTGATTGATAGGTGTCCCTGATGTGGGCTAGTTCATAATCTGCAATAATCAGCTAATATAACTCCTTACAATGAACTATATATAATAACCAATCAACAAGGGCATCTTGGTCATAGTTCATCGGCTCATTCAAATTGTATACATGTATATATATATATATATATACATGTATGAAGAACAAAGCACAAAATACAATATCCTCAATAATCCTCAGCATATGTCCATGTCAAATCATGTTAAAGCTTATTAAATCCTCAAATCCTTAAACCATAAAAAATATCCCTATGGTTTATAAAACTGTACCTTCTCTTATTATCCCACATGGTATTAAACCATTAAGCCATATTAAACCACCACCGCCATGGACCATCCACCCATCACCAAGGTGCCAGAAACAGCCCGCTGCCGGCACGTCTCGGAGCAGCGTAGGGATGAAACCTGGCCCAAAAAATCTGGGATGAGGGGATTTCCATGTCGTCATGAGGCTACCCTAAAATAGATGGTTTATCTCATGGAAAATCATGTATAAATGGCCATTGATAGTTGATTTACTTCTCAAAAATGTGATTTTCCATAGCTATAATCTGGTTGATGGTATACCTACCCCTCTGAAAAATATGAAAGTCCAATGGGAATATTATTCCCAACTGAATGGAAAAAACAATGTTCCAAACCACCAACCAGTAATGGAAAATTCAATCAAACAGTGCCCCATTTTAGGAAACCTCCATGAACAACTAGGGGATGTTGATTAAGAAAATGACGGGGACAAAATTGATCTTTTACCATGATGAAAAAATGCCATCGTTGATTTAATACAGATGTCTTTATTACCATGCTATATACCAATGGCCAATTCATATACCTAAAATGGAGGTACGTTAGTACCGTGACGCCATATTTTGGGATGATGTCTGCATAGGTCTTACATAGATCTTATATATGATAGGTACGAGAACCTCCTATTTAGGCGCCTGAAATGGCCATTGATTATATGTTGATCTACCATGCTTTTTCTGGGAATATCACAAAACATTCATCGGTGATTTAGAGGGACATCTTTCATGAGATAAATGGGATATTTCCATGTTGAAAAACCAGGAAGACACACATAAATTGGTGAATGTGTGAGTTTAAAGGGGGGAGCTGTAGTTAGATGGGCTTGTAAACCAACTTATAACTAAGGAGGCCCAAAGGGAGTGATATGGCAGGGAATATGGACGAATGACGATGATGAATATTGCGATCATTGATTTAAAGGTCATTGATATAGTGATACGACTGATATTGCATGCTTTTAAAGAGGGAATGTAGCAATATTACAATTGGTGATTTACAGGGACATATGATGGAATAAATGGGCTATTTCCCATGTTGAATAGGTGACATAATGGAATATGGGAAAGATTTGAGATAATGGGGCATATCACCAACAGTGTGGGGTAATATGATGATGACAAATCTATGATCGTTGGCCTAAACATGATGGCGTAAGCGGGATAGACTGGTGATATGACCACCACTGTAGTGTGGGATGATGAACAAGTATGCTTTTTTACAATCTAAATGGGTACATAACTTGTGGCACTATCAACTCATGGTTATACAGTGATGCTTTCTATTAAGGCTTTCCCAAGCATGTGGTATACTGTATACCTCAAAATCGCGAAATTCCAAGTATCACTGCAATGCAATGATAAACCATAGGATGTTGTGGTACCCTATTTTTGGAACAACACCATATATATATATATACATTATTTCAGGCCCAAATAGTGGATTGCAGCCTCATCATCCCAGGTTTATATAAACTGTAGAGTGCTCGTTGACGATAATCATCCCAGGATATTTTGTTCTAGTGCGTGGTTGAAACCCTTAGAACACATTAAAAGGCAATTCGGGTTCATTAACATCTGGTAATTTAACATAGCTATTGAAAATTACAATTTAGTTCGTTGATTTACCCAAAAAAAATGGTGATGATGGTGATGTTCAATAGTTTTTTTGTATGTTTACCAGAGGATAACATCTGAGCAGTGTTCAAAAGCCTGTGTCGTCCCTTGATACTGGATAATAGGATGTCCCAGTTCATGGATTGTGGTAATCCCCAAGATGTATAGGGTAGTGTAACACAAAAAAAGCATATAATCATCATCCAATCATCATTTATTTTAGCTATTTAAGTACATAAATATACATCCCCATCTGTTGATAGTTAAGATTTTTATTGAGCATGTTTGAATATTGTTAAATCTCCATTAAACACAAACTATCCCAAACTAATGATCATTGACCAGTTATATCCACAAGCATATCCCCATATATTTTGCTGGTAAAACATGGTAAAACCCCCTATTAAATTATGATGATGAACTCATCAACCGAAAGGCGTGTCTCGCAAATGAAACATCCCTATATCCTGAAAACAGATTACATAAACCTCATACAACCACATACAAGCCCTATTCCCTCCAGTAAATGAACATAGACCCTGAAAAATAGGGGTTGGAAGATTAGTTGCCACTAAAGAATGGTGATTTTCAGGGTTTATGTTAATTTGCAAGAGGGTCATTGATGGTTAAATCTCATCAAAACCCTATATCAGGGGTCGGTAAATGTCCTATTTTTTCACATCACCCAAATATTGGGGATATTTCATCTCCAGATATTTGAAAGTGATGTTCAAAAATCCCCAAAATGGGACATTTACCAAGCCCTGTACCCTCTGGTAATTTAACATAGCTTTTGAAAATTGCCATTTATAGTGGATTTTCCCATGAAAAAATTTGTGATTTTCCATAGTTATGTTAGTTTACCAAAGGGTATATGTAACAGTTGCTTAGCACTGCTCATTGGCATCGCCCGGATTCCCGTATGGACCTCGCCACATCGACCGCAGCCCTTCAGTGCTAGCGACCTGCGACGTCGTGTTGTTTTTTTTTCCGTGGGTTTTCGACCCAGTCAAAACACATGAGAGAAGTTTAATTACTATATTTACGTAATATATATATATATATATATATATGTATACACACTGTATATACATACATTTATCTATTGTGCATTACTATTTATGTACATGAATACGTTCATATGTGCTATATATATATATACACGTACACCTTATGTATGTAGTATATATATATATACTGTATATATTAATGATTTACTTCTGCTGGTTGCTTAACACGTGTAACTTGTAGCTTGGATCTGCATCCCAGTGATGTAATTTCTACAGCACAATGGCTTTGGCCACTAAATCACTCATCTGAAATAAATATATGACCGAGAATGGGGTATGCCCTAGATGTAGAAAGAGGCCCATTTATAAATGGATGAATTACCTCTCTGTCTATGTTTGAAAATGGTATCCAAAATGGCCATTCAAGTAAAACAAGCTTGATGAAGCAGTAGGGGTACTTTCTTTTGAACAAACACATAATAAATATATATATATGTATAATATACTTCGTTTCGAGCTGGAGGTATCATCGGCTGAGATCTCACCGGAATCAACCATGTATGATTTTACCAAAAACAAAACTGATCCAAACAATACAGATTGAATAGTATGTTTGCGGTCTATTCGCTTCCTGATTTGTGGTGTCATGCCCATTGAAGTATGAGTCAAACTTGAACACACCCTTTGTTTGCCACGGTTCAATACATAATGAAAACTAAAACCTTTGGTCCCCCTGCGCATCAAATCTTGACCCTGACGCAGCTCAGATGGGGATCATGGCCCATCCCCACGAAAAATCTCCCTATGAAATATCCCTCTATCCGCATGATGCTTGGCTATTCTTCATATTACCCTCTGGTAATGACTAACACTTTGCGAACTTGAACATGGCACATTTATAGTTGATTTACCTGTGAAAGATGGTGATTTTCCATAGCTTTTTGTATGTTTACCAAAGGCTACCCTCAAACGTGTCATTCATGGCTTGTCCGCCCGGTCCCCAGGTCCCCAAGGCTCGGCCTCCCACGGACTTCGCAGGAGGTGTGTGGTCTGTTTCTCCGGCAGCAGGACAACTGCCTCGACATCAGCAGGGGTTGGAAGATTAGTTGCCACTAAAGAATGGTGATTTTCAGGGTTTATGTTAATTTGCAAGAGGGTCATTGATGGTTAAATCCCAGTAAAACCCTATATCAGGGGTTGGTAAATGTCCTAATTTTTCACATCACCCGAATATTGGGGATATTTCATCTCCAACAGATACTTGAAAGTATCCCCAAAATTGGACATTTACCAAGCCCTGATCAGGGTGACCAGGCTGCCGTGGAATTTGCCTGAACATCTGGGGGAAAAACAACCAAAATCCCATGGTTTCTGATGATATTCCCTATCATTTGATAGCCATTCGAGAGTATATCTCAATTTCAGACATACCCATGGTCAGGTGAATTTCCCAAAATTTTCCCTACCAACGTACACTACAAAGGATACTACAGAAGGAAAATACTCCAAGTGGAACCAGGCTGTTGATGTTTTTTTCTTGAGATGCAAGGTGTCAACTCCCTGGTGTTCAACATGTTCAACCAAATATGGTGTTTAACCAAGAGAAGATTGAGAATATGAATCGGATCAGTGGTGGGCCAACAATTTCAAGAAACCTCACTTTTTTGTAGTCATCTCTTCAGAATCAGATATGTATACTGTATACAAATATATGATATATATATATAAAAAAACATATGTATACGTATATATATATATATATATATATGATAATATATGATTTAAAAACATAGTACCAACTATAAGCTAAATAAATGCAAAAGGTGATAAAGCTACAGGATAGATAGGGTACGGTTGGGTAGATCATGACGAGGCAGCAGATTTGGGATTACATATTTTCTGTTGTATACCCATGTTATTTGAATGATTGACTCAGCAAACATGACGAGTTAAGCAGCAACAACGGAATGTAGCTTGACACTTTAATTTAATCATTTGAACATGGGATAACAAGTTTGTTTTGATAGCCGATGATCACAGACGACAGTGGGAAGACAATGGTGGCCAAAATAATGTAAATGGTGTGTTTGTGGTTTGACACATATTGTTCTCCATCGCACTCGGGATTATAAATGTAAATGGACTATTTTCCATTGGAATGGCTTGAAACCACCACAATTAATCATAAATTGTACTTGTCAGAAAAATATTGAAACTAACAAACCATAATTAAGCATAATTAACTATAATTAACCATTCCTTTGGAAAGGCAACCAACTTCCACAAAAAAAGACGTGTTTTTATGGACGGCTCATCTCCCCATGGACCTGGCGACAAACACGCAGGAAGTCGAAGGGTTGAACCACTGCAACTTGGACCTCGGCTGCCGGAGTTTCTTTGAAGCGAACATCTTCACCGGAAATCATATGTTTTTTTTTCCATAAATTATATATATATTATAATATTATAATATTATATATATATATATATACATATACATATACACATAGGGGTGGTGTAGGCGTGAGCCAAGGTTTAAACATCTTTTTTTTTGATGGCACATACCAGAAGCGGCCCGCAGAAAAATACCGCGGTGGTACGGTTCATTCAAAACCACCAAGCAGATCGGTAACAATGGCCCAGGATCCAACGAAAAAAACATCAAAATTCTGCTTCCAGGTTCAAATAATTAGGGCATCAATAGCTATATCATTCTATAGGATGGGGCCCCATAGTTGGCCAAGTTGTTTTTTTGGGTTGATTAGGAGAATATAACTATAGAATACTATAGATAACTATAACCCTAGATAACTATAACCCTAAAGTCCAATAACCCTACCTAATAACTATAGTATTCATAGGAGGATAAATCAACAAACATCACTGTTATTAGGACCATCCGAAGTATCTCAGGAGATGATCGTTTGGCAGACCTGCCTCGACAACTCGACATTTTTGAAAGCTCAATTTAGGGGGACGAGGAACCACGAATCGTTGGTCAAACATATGTGTTTTTTTCTTAGCAAAAGAAAAACAACTATATAACTATATATATATACACACCCTCTGGTAAACTAACATAGCTAGTGAACATGACCATAGAAATAGTGGATTTAACCATTAAAAATGATGATTTTCCATAGTTATTTGTATGTTTACCAGAGGGTATATTATATGAACCTCAAAACCTCTGACTTAGAGATCTAAAGTTTCAATCCATCAAAGTCACAGCCTTTGCCACCATGGCGGCTTGAAGCACCTGCCCACAGAAGCATAAGAAGGCGCTGAAGGCGAATGCATTTAGAGCATTCTATGTATTTATAACAAGTAACATATTATATAAATACTATGTATAAAGATATACATGCTATAAATTACTATAAATACTATGTATATAAAGTATGTATGTAATACTTCGTCGAACTGCAGTAATCCCTTCTCCCTATCACTAAACGTACTCCAAATATTAAAAACTAAGGTCGGTTTCCAATTTTGGGACATTTCAATTTTGTCAATTTGATTTATGATTGATCCCTTTGGAAAACAATTCAATTCATGGTCCCTTTGGACGGTTGAACACCCTAATAAAGACTAGTCAATTCTTTTTATTAGGCTCCGTCCTTTCAAATCGAACACTAAATCAGTATGTTTGATTTTCTAATATTAGGGGAACCTTTGAAATATTTTTTTTGGCAATATTTTAATTAGATTTTGAAAAGGGATTTAATCGATTTTGACATCACAAATTCTAGTTGTTTTGATTTAATAGGGGAACCTTCGAAATCCAAATTTTGGCAACATGTTTAATTAGGTTTTATAAAGGAGTTTAATCGATTTTGACATCTAAAATTGTATTTTTCTTAAATTAACGTGTTTGATTTAGTATTAGGGGGAAGCTTCGCACTTTAAGACTAAATACCTCCTAATATTAAAATCTCCCCGAGGTGTTTATCATTAAGGGGGGCAGGTTAGTACGAGGGAGAAGGGATTAGTTTTGATACCAGTATTTTATTAAAGTCAGGAACAAACCAGATCATCTTGCGCTGATCAGATTGGCAGATCTTAGACTCATCCACCGGTGTTGTTCAAATTTACGCCCAATCTCCAGGGTTGACAACTGGCATTTGTGGTCCTAGGCCTTCGAGGAAATCAGCGGTTGAGTTAAAATGCTGGACCAAGGTCGCTTGTCAATGGGGATCATCATTCCAGTCATAGACAATTTGAAAAGAAGTTGAGACCACCAGCCGAATTACCATTGGTTATATACGAAACAATACATCCCAATGGAATACAGTACCAGTAATTAATATATATAGTTTAAATTCCCATAAAACCATAAGCCCAGCGTCTTTATGGATTTCTATGACGTGCAGACTGGTCATAGCTATATGGCAGCCATGGCTGTCATTCATCCCATGAAACATGGGTTGATCCAACACAGCCCCAGGACCGAGGATGACCAAATAAACATCACCCCTTGTGGCTATCTTTTACGCATGGATTAGAGCACCCATGTTGATTTAAGCACAGTTCCTTTAAGTGGATTTCGGAGTTGTTAAGAAATGTTAAAATCATTCTTCGCCATTATTAATCACTATAAACATCTATAAACCATTACTGACCATATGTGTTCCATAGTTTTTGCTTGGTGAAAGTCTTCATTTACCAAGGTGACACCGCCAGGGCTAGTGATCACATGACCATCTGATCAAGTCGTGGCACTGAAAAACACTGCCGAATTTCACTGAAAAATATTGGGAAACGCTTCAAATCCCATGTATATATTATATATATATATATGTATATTATACTGTGTATATATATATATAAGGTATATATGAAAATTAATCGAATGTTATGTTATTTCATAACAGCATGGTTAAGAAAAAAATGCATATAATATAATATAATATATAATATTCAATACTGATGGTTGATGATAGGTGTTCCCATTAAAAATTAATGTTCCAGTTCATACTTATGCATTTTGACAAGCAATTTAGCATATGGCCATGGCATCCCATAGCTGACCATGGCTATGGGTCGTTTCAAACCCTGGTACCTCTGTGAAAACCTCAAAAAAACTGGGATTTTGTTCGATGTTCATCCCACTAAAATTGATAGATTCATAGATATTTCACAAAGGTTTTGACCCACCCCTCAATGGATTGGCTGGATTGGCTGGATTGGTTTAAGGGAACATCTTAACCGGAAACCATGGTGTTTTTTACCATCAAAAAAAAAGGAGCTTTCCGGGTTCAATTTTCCATCATCTCAATGGGAATTTCAGGATCCTAACATGAAGGTACTGTACCATATAAGGCCATATTTTGGGGGAATATTCCCTTACATAGGCCTTACATAGGCCTTATATATAGTAGGTACCTCCAAGAAATCGGTTCCTGAAATGGCCATTGATCATCCAATTCTGTGAAACATGTGATGCTACCAGTACTGGCGGGTGTACCATGGTTTACCAACCGCTGGGTGAAGCCTCAAATCTGACCAACGCCGCACCTGGGTGGAACCTCGTTGCACCTGGAAACGAGTTGCACGCGGGCCGGTCGGGAGAACAAGCCACCTTTTGGGCAACGGCATCCATTGGATTTTACCAAAAAAACATTAGATCCCGCATTCCTGTTTTTGTTTTTCCATTAGCAAAATATTAATATATGTATACTTAATTTTATATAATATACTAGATAGCCAATATTCTATATACAGTATCATATACCATCCCCAAGTCGCATTTTTTATCCATCCCCCGCTGCTGGTAGTTTGTCAAGGGTCAGGCTTTCCCCACATAAAAATGTTTGACTTCCAACCCCGATTTTGTGCACGACAACCCGAATGCTTGATATGTGTTGTTGGTTAAGGCGTGAAACCCCAGTCTTTTTGTTGGCAACTAGGACATTAAAGCCAACTTATTGAGATGTTTGTTGATAGTTAGAAAAATAATTTCTATTAATATGTGTGTTTAGTTTTTTTTTAATACTTATTTTCCTATCAAACAGCACATGGTCGGAATCCATGTCAAACCCATGAAACCCTTTTTTGTTAGTTAAACATATTAAACATTAAACCCCTTAAAGATCCTTAAAGCCCATTGCGGCCTCGTAGCTCAGCAGGAAGGCCAGGGGTGAGAGGCTGGAGCAACAAAGCGCCTCGACCGGAGCATCGTGGAGCCGAGAAGAAGTGATGAACGGATTCGATCCTGGGGATTCCACAAGATTTCATAAGATTTAAGATGATGTCATGGTGATGTCATGGTGATGTCATGGTGATTTCATGGTGATTTCATGGTGATTTCATGGTGATTTCATGGGATTTAGTTGGATGAAACGTTGGTTTCTTTGAAAATAGATTCATTACTGTTGGGGATTCGGTGTTTAATGGCGATATAATGGGATACATACAACCAGCAATCAAATGATATCAAATGTTGAGGGTGATACTTGGTGGTTCACCCCAGTGTTTGTTGGGTTGTAACCCGCTTAACTTCTCAACTAGTGACAGTTGTGAGAGATGAACTGGGCCATTTGTATCCATTTGTAAGGAAGATAGGGATATCCATTGTCTTACTCAACCTGGCATTCCATGAAATACTGGTTGGTTAAGAACACTATTCCGACAATGAATGATGATAACCCCAAAGTGTTCCCAGTGAAAATGAATGATAATCCCAAAGAAGTAAACAAAAACATATCCCAATGATATATTGGAGGTTCTACTACCTAATCCATTTATATAAAATGATGCTTTTTTCCCAGTCCTCACGGGCAGTGTAACCCGGTCACATGAACGAACCGGTCACATTTGGGCAACGACGGGCCACAGGCCGCGGAAAAGGCCGCCTCAAACATCACCATGGGGGCCCCGCCTATGTTCATTGTGGGGGTAGCCTCCAAATAGTCACAACAAATGATACCATATGATACCATGAATCACTAACAAATGCCACTTTGTTGATTTTAAGAGCCGAATGTGACTGGGGTTGATGAAAATCCAGGGTTGACATGAAACATATTTATGGCAATTTCTGGTGATGACTGGGGGATGGTTTCTTGTTCTACCCACCAGAGTGCAAAACAATGCAACAAAAAAGCAAACACACAAATACTGTGTGTTCTTTCTTCGCTTCTCAACATCGACGTGTGTAGCAACATATCAGCAACAACATTTTTTGATCTTGGAAACGCGGCAAATGCTCATGAAACAAACCATGGCGGAATTAAACAGACATTTGTCAAACCTCTAAATACTGGTTGGTGGTTGCAACCCATCTGAAAAATATTAGTCAGTTGGGATTATTATTCCCAATATATGGAAAGTCATAAAAGTCATGTTCCAAACCACCAACCAGTATATAATCAGCGGAAAGTATACGTGGTGCACTGCTACATCGGGTGACAGGATGTTCCTACCGAGGTGTGTCCATTCCCGTAGCCTTATTTTGGGCTTGACCTATGACCTCGTTCTCCAATGCCGCACTTGTTGATCAGAACTACCATCTGGTTATTTAACATAGCAATGGAAAATCACCATTTGTAATAGGTAAACCATCTATAAATGGGCCATTTTAAACCATGGCTATGTTAAATAACCAGAGGGTAAATGCTACACATGGCATGTGTACCTCATTCCTGGGGTGTTCCAACCTCGTTTTGTTACATGTAATGTTTCCGGAAAAAACGGAGTACCCGGAAGACTACAATTCGCTTCACCAACTAAAACGTGTCCCACATATAGATACATAGGGCAAATATGACGGCTGTCTCGTTGCTAGGTTTGAAAACATGTAGCCGAAAAGCTTATATAGTTGAACCAGGTCTCTGAAAACTCCTGAGCCTAGATTTGGACCTTGGCAAAACGTTCAACTTCTCAAGATTAAATTTCTCTGACTCCAGCAGAATCTTATCCTCAAAGAAACTGGAGAATGAAAACAGAGTGGAAGAATGTGGAAGACATCCGAACCTCCTTTTTCATCTGAGGTGAGCTCTGTTAAAAGCAATGGCAAGAATCAACACAAAGATCGAAAAAGGCCGCAAGAAGACTCCTCTAAAACTCTGGCCATCCCTCTTATGTAATATGAAGATGACAACAACAATGGAATCTATTATTTTAGTGAGGAGTACTACACTTCCGTAGTGATATCCAGGTGAACACATCAGAACAATCAATGATTATCAATATACATGCAGCAATTGGGTGTAAATGTACCATATAAACATACATAAACATACATAAACATACATAAACATACATAAACAATATAAACCATATAAACATACATAAACATACATAAACATATATAAACATACATACACATACATAAACAATATAAACATCAAACATACTATCCCGTTTGGATGCTCAATATAGCAATTGGCTACCAATCTTTTTTATATGGCGCCATTTCCTCTGAGGACTCCAACTTTTGGGCACAGCAGCTGCTCTGAGAGCCTCCGTGATGATGACTTGGATGAATTACTGAGATATGGGGCCATCATGAAATATCAATGGCCATGGGAAATGGCCCATAGAAATAGAGGTTTACCTATTAAAAATTGTGATTTTCCATGGCTATGTTAAATAAGCATCATTTTATCAATGGCCACTTGAGGTACCTAAATTGGAGGAGGTACCTATCACAAAAAAAGGCCTATGTAAGGGCTAAATTTCAGGGCATACACACCCAACATATGGCTTTGTATGGTACAGTACCTCCATTTTAGGATCCTGGAATTCCCATTGATTATACCGCATTATAGACTAATTATAGATGGATTGGTATAATGTGGGTATAGTGATGGTGAATTGGATTCAAATGGAGGTGATTCAGGATGGTTTATGCCATATTAACGTTGCTTTTATTCTTATCATATTGACTTTAAGTGGGTTTTAATGGAGGAATTGTCGTACCAGCAATGTAGAATGATGATGACTATTACTATCATTAGTAGTAGTTCTGGTGGCAACAGTGATGGCATCAAGTCATATGTATATATATAATTATATCTAAACATATTATATCTGAACAACTAAACAATCAAAGAAACATGTATCCAATCACCAGATTTGGCAATGTCGTAGACTGCGCCTGCCATGTTCATATCCCGCTCTCGAGTAGGAGTCGGCGACATTTCCGATGTTCAACGCTTCGATTCAAGTCGGCAAGCAGGGCATTAAAAACAGTTTTTGTCGTACATATGAGAACTTCTTGAGTCATCAAACGGTAATCTTATGTAGTATACAGCGTAAATATCTATATCCTCATCTGGTTGGTGGTTTCAACCCCTCTGAAAAATATTAGTCAGTTGGGATTATTACTCTCCAGTAAATTAACATAGACCCTCGCAGACAGGGGTTGAAAGACTAGTTTCCACCCAAAATTGGTTGTTTCAGGGTCTACGTTAATTTACCAGAAGGTATTCCCAATATATGGAAAAAAATGTTTCAAACCACCAACCAGTCATTCACAGTATGTTCACATTTTCCTCCGTGTACCTCACCTGACTCTTGAGTTCAGATGTGTTTATTCAACTTTTGGGTGCCAAGCTCACCTAACTCGATGACAAAAATGGAAACAAAAGATCTACCCAAACTGCTTTGCTTTGCACATCTTCCCTCAGAGCAATTCTGGATATGTCTGAAAATTGAGGGATCATCATGATGATCAATGGGTAGATAAAAAAAAAAAACATGTTACAAATAATATAAATTCACATTACATATACGTATAATATTGGGTTATATCAATGGGTATCCATAGAATACCATTCTTACGATAGAGATAAATTCAAATGAATTCCCAGCTGGGATCGTTTCGGCATCGCTGCGCCTCCCGTAGCGTGGGCGTTGGGCTCTTTTTAGAGATTGCGGCCTGGAGGTCCAATGGCAAGTTCACCGGTGCCGGGCAATGTTCCACCAATTGAAATCCCATTAAATCCACCAATAAATCTCAGTAAATCACCATTAAATGACTATTCAATCCCATGAAATGGGGAAACATATGAGAAAATGATGATTCTGACAGAGCGACAAAGGGAACTGAAACAACAAATGGGCCTTTTAGTGGAATCGAGGACTGTCCAGGGCAAGCAATACAGACTCGAAGACCATAAGTGAATTCTTCAACACCATATCTGGTTGGTGGTTTCAACCCCTCTGAAAAATATTAGTCAATGGGAAGGATTATCCCATAGATTCTGGAAAATGATTGAAACCGCCAACCAGATATAATTCTAGGGATATAATCACTTGTCCTGCGTAGAGTGAAATATCACCTAAGAAAACGTTGATTTAGTATTTATTGGATCTATTCATTTCTAGGTCCCAGTCATTTATTGGGGTGTTTTGATCATTTTTTTGCGTGGGATTCTGGGCATGTGTGTGTTACCCTCGTAAACTAACAGCTTGCTGTGGAAAATCACCATGTAGAAAATGGCTATGTCAGCTATTTCTATGGCAATTTCCAAGTTCGCAAACTGTTGTGTTACCAGGCCGGGTATGTCTTTCAGAACCATTGTATGTCTCACCAAACATATCCAGAAACGAGCCATCGGGATGGATCAAAAGCTGAATTTCACCATCATCCCAGTTATGTCGCGATGTGTCCGGTTCTAAGTCCGTTATCCAGGTTTATTGCATACATTCCCATCATTGACCCATTACTGTATGTATATATATATATATACACCCACTATAATATAAATATATATATATGTATATATGTATATATATATATATTGTCGAGCCATCATCAATGAGTATTCCCCCGGTTGGATTTTTAATGATGAAATCTCTTGAACTTTCATGAAATGCCCGTAAGATGACCGTCAAATCATTGATTGTCAGTCATGCAATGTGTTGCCCCAGTTGCGTTTGTTGGTTTTTAACCCCATAAACTAGTACTAGATTGATATATCTACCACAAGTAGTTATTATTAGTGCACCAGTTCGTAGATCAACGTCCTATTATGATCCGATTATATATAGTCCTGCCGTTTCGCAAAAATTTCTATTAGGCATCCCAACTGGCGCAGGATTTCGCAAACATCCAAAGCCATGGACAATTCACAGGGCTGCTCCAAACACCCCAGGTACGTTTGGGCGGTCAAATTGGCTTGCCATATAGCGGCAAATTGGCGTATACCCCCCCTGGGTGGCTCTCGTCTAATGTTGGTCAAACAATAGTAAATCGTTTTTACAATTTTTAAACCATTTTTACATTTCCAATATTAAGAAAAAACATATTAAACCATATCAAAAACAACAATTCCATTTAAAATTGGTTCCAGCAATCAAAAAAAACATCAATTCCAATTTTACCATTTTTGGGATTCCAAACATCAATAACATCAATCCTAATATGGATGCTTTCTGACATCGCCAAAGATTCTCATCCATTATCCTCTCATACTCTGGATGTTTGCGAATTCCCTCACCAGTTGGGAACTATTTTTTTTTATTGTTCGCACGTGAATTTCATGGGCAAAAATGTTGGCAAAATGTTTACCCTCTGGTAAACTAACAGTTCGCTATTGAAAATGGCCCATTTAGTTCGTTGATTTACCCATTGAAAATGGTGGTTTTCCATAGTTTTTTTTGTATGTTTACCAGAGGGCACCATCTACGGTGATTGGGATTTCGCAACCATCCACAGTATGTTGCCTGAGCAGCATGTCGCGCCACATCCAAAGGAAGCCCTAGGACCTGGCGGCTGACAGCGCAAAGGAAACATGGAGATAATAAAACAGCAAAAATTGAATATGACTGATATACATATATATATATATAGAGAGAGACCCACATGTACATATATGTACATATATACATATTTGCATATATATATGTTTTTGTATATCAAAATTAATATTACTATTGCTATTATTATCATTTCTATTACTATTATTATATAACCATATAACTATATGTATATGTAACTACATGTTGATAAAAAAAAATAGTATGTGTATACATACTTGTATGTATATACATATATATATATGTACAAATATATATAAAAATATGTATATATGTATATATATATACATATATATATATAAACATGGGAGGGGGGTGTTGTGAGCGCCAAAATTTGTCATGCAAGCTGCCCTTTTTATACAGCACATCATGTTTGCTGCGTGCAGAGCATGAGACATAGATGTTAGTGAAGGCACCAAGATATAACATGACTAAGGATTAATCTGGATTAATCCTAAACTGACTAGTTCTTGAAGTGATCTTAATTAGGAAGTTGGTTTGATTTTGACACGCATTGCTTTCAACAAAGTCAGCTAAGACTTTACAAAATTGTGTGATATACAATGCCAAGTTTTACTTGGGACGCATGGAACGAGACTTTGCATTCTTCCTAGATGACAAGATAGATGACAAGGGCTGAGCATATTGGTTATGGAAGAGAATTGCTTCCTCCACCCAAAATTTGTGAGAATGCGGGCGCAGACTATTGAGAAAGAAATTCAATGGTCGAATCCAGGCATTGAAGGTCTCAGACATGTTGGTGCGGACATTCTTGGCACGTTTCTTTTCCTTGGGGGTCCAAGTTGATTTGGAGCAACGATGGTTTTTCATGTGGAAGCAATCAACCATGTAGTACTTGATGTTCTCAAAGCCTTCACACTCATACTTCTTGACATAACTTTCGAAGTGGCATGCATCATCATGGAGCAAGAGGTCAGCAGAAACCAAGGGCATAGAGAGCACCTGCTGAAGGAGGTCAACCTTATCTTCATTCCGCTCATTGATACGATGTTCATAGGCACCTAGCACTTTCCCAGTGCAAGGGTCCACAGCAAACTGCCAACCAGCAGTGCGATCGGGTAGAACTTGTCGAACGGAATCCTTCTTTGCACAGTGACAGGAACGGTCATGCTCATAGAGCAACTTCATGGGCCGTCCTTTGAGAGGAACTTGTCGAGGTGACTCCACAGGTGTCAACAAAGCTCGATGGACTCCAAAGTGACCATCAAAGCTAACAGAAGTCACAGGCACAGATGGAGGAAAGAGCATGATTGGCTTGGTGATTTTGATCACAGTCTTGGCCGGAAAGTCAAGGTTGAATTCAACAACCTTATCTGGCTGGCGCTTGGCCACTGCGTACCCCTCAAGGGCATGCAACAGATGCTTGCGCAAGGAGTCACTCCAGAACATTTCAACATGATCTCCATCTGCAATGTTCCTCACAGCTGCCTCTTGACCAGGGCTAGTCTTGGCACGCAGAAGACGAAGGTAGCATAGCTCCAGGCTGTTGTGAGCGCAAAAAAAAACATGATATCATCCATAGTATCAAGGCTATATATCCCCAAAAGTTCCTTTTTTTAGCGCTCACAACACCCCTTTCTGATAAACATACATATAATTATATATATACATATATATATATGTATGCATATGCATGTGGATATATACATATATATATATATATACATGTGTATATATATATGTATACATATATATGTAGATAGATCTATATATATATATATGTATATGTATCTATGTATATATATATGACTATATCATATATCACCAACAAAAAATTATGATTACACCAACCAAGAGTGGTGATCGAACCAACTCGAAATGGTACTTTAACGCAACACATACCCCCAAAAGGTCAGCCCCCAGCAGTGATAAGGCTTGAGGTGATGAATCCTCCGTACGAGCTTGCCATTGGGGTACCCTTAGATGTCCATGAATATGGCCAACGGCCAACCAAACCATGGAAACATATTGGGTTTGTCTGAATATAGGCTATGTTATCTTTCAATTCCAATGGATTATATTACGTCAAAAATCATCATTTTCCCTGGTAAAATGGTTGTGTCGGGGTATAATATATATATATATATATGTATATATCCTATTTTTGTTAGGGGTTGTGGGGTCCCCAGTTGCCCCAGATATGGGATGACTACTGGGCTATGCTGTGTGATGCTTCTCCACTCCACGTCTGGCGAAGATTCCATCCATCATTGACCTAGAACCTACCAGGCCTCCCCTTCACCACTGGGCTTACCCAGACTGCTGCCAACAAATGTGCGGAAAGTGGGGGTTGAGAGCTCATGACTCTGGGTTCCTTGAGGGTGGTGCAAAACAAGATTGCTAGCCATTGCTAGCAGCTACCCCAACTTCCCCAAGGGCCGCATGGCTTTTTGATATTCAAATGATCATAAGCATTGTCCAAGCGTCAACATCCGTGATTCCTGTAATCAGATGTTAACAGCCATGGCACTTTTTGGTGCAGTACTGCCGAATTTCATCGCTGGAAACGTTCTTTTTTGTAGGTGGAACCTCCTCGCTTCTTGCGAAAAGAGGACCAGCCTTTTCTCGGACGCTGAAAGTTTCCGTGGCACTGCGGTCAACTCGGCCAACTCCGAATGTCGCCCAATTTCTGTCTCAGGGAAACACGGGTCCCCAAAAGTCCCCCGTTTTGAACAGTGTTTTGCCAAAGCAAAACAGCAACGGTTCCTAGGTCTACAGTTATGGTCATTTATTAGTTATAACTGGTTGTAAATGGGATTATACATTCTATAAATGGGGTTATAAGTACTTATAACTGGTAAATGGCCACAACTCTAGACACTGAAATTTGGGGGACCTGCACCTCCGTCAGTATGGATCACAATCTGAAAGCCCTGAACAGCAGGTTGCGGTCATAAAAATTGCAAGTTGAAAATGTTCAAAACCCGCAATCTTGGTTGATTGGGATTCTTCGAATGGATTATGACAATCCGACAATCCCCAATATATATGGCCATATTATATGGCTTAGTATAATCCTCGAACTATTCACCAACCAGGGGTTTTGAACACTGCTGAGGAATAACATGTGTGCTAACCATCCCACTTTCGCACTCAATTTCAGGACCCGTGCCCAGATCTTTCTACATTCAACTTTCTACATTCAAGTTTCATAATATCTCCAAATGGGTTCGTCTCAAAATAGTGCACCTTCATATCTTGATGGCTTGGAACATCATTGAAAACCCATTGAAGTTGCCACAAATCGGGATTTCCCCATAGTGGATGTAGATGAATTATGAGGTAATTATGCCAAATTGCTGCCTTCAAAAATTTCATTCTTAATGACCCAAAATATCAGCCATGAAAAATATTGCCTTGATTTACCATTTTGACTACGAACATCTACGAATGACCCGCAAAGGTCGGTATCAAGACCATATTTTGAGCACTTTTACCAATTCATGTGTGGAAAATGAAAGTCAATCAATAATTAATCAACATAATCAACATAATCAACCCACACAATAACCAATAAAATGAAGGTCAATCAACATTTTGAGACAACCCCTTCCGACTCGCTTTGAAACACACCGTTCAGTGGAGCTCAACTTTGGTGCTCCGACTGCCGTCACCGCCGTCACCGTCAATGCCCTATCTCCTCCTTTCGCGCCTGGGAGGGTGGCCAAAAGGGGTACCTCAAGTAATGGAGGATAACAACCAAAAGTTATGGGGATTAATAAATACCTGGAAGAACCCTTAGGCACTTTTTTCTGCCCTCGGCACCTAGGCAGCCGCATACGCACTTTCACCCGGAAGTTTGCAAAACTCGGCAGATTTATATTGATGTAGGCATTTTTATCTCAAGATGTTTTTTATCTCAAGATGTAGACCATACAAAAAATTATCAGCCTCGGCATTCTTTTTGGGCCTAGGCATTTATTCTGGGAATCGGCAGAAATAAACACCTACAGGCAGGTTAGGCACTTTTTTCTGCCTAGAGGAGTTTGTAGGTATTAAATGATATTGATAGCTGAATGATGTTAGCTAAAGTTGATTTCAAAATGTTTGTATATCGAACCAATGTGGCTTATCCATGCTTATCCAACAAACCTCACTGGGCACCACATTAAGGGAATTTGGAGACCTGGAGATCATGTCCACCATGGGTAGAACTGTTCCAGATCTGACAAAGATTTGTGCCGAATATGTGTTCCACGTGTTGCCTGATTCCGTGACATGTCTTAAGTTTTTTGCAGAGTTCTGAGGGTAGTAATTGGCCTGGCAATTGAGTGCATGTGATCTCTTATCATTTTTTCTCAGTATTTGACATGTCTGAATGAATGACATCATTGAAAACATAATCTTTCATTTTGAGACATGTATATTGTGTGTTTGCGTTTTTTTTTCAACCCCCTAAAACCATGTAAAATGTCGAGTGATGTCGAGGTGCCATCAACTCAGCGATGGTGGTGTTGATGTTGGCGCGCAGGATGAATGGAATCGCTATCGCTGTCTCTTCCATGACGGAACCCGCCTCCTGAAATCCGAGACTTTGGGGGAGACCAGAGATTTTGGCGACCATGGGCCCCATGGGCTACCTAATTGATGGTTATTATCCAAACATCTCTGGTTGTAATCATGGTGAATTTGATGTCAATCATAAAGATGGTACCCAATCTGGTATTCAACATCTTTACTAAACATGTATTAACCATATTTTGTGTTTATAAAAACCATCCATTTATACCATAGATACCCAATGACTTGACCAATACCCATTGAAATGGCGATGTATATAAATTATCCCACGAGGTAAAGCCAATGCCACCATTTGGAAATGACTTTTAGAATCCATTAATCGTCATATTGGGAATGGTTTATTACTGGGTTTACCACTTTCTTAGCGGGGTTTTCCTGCTCATATCGGAACAAAAAACACCATTTTAAGTGGGATTTACTCATGACGGCATGTGATACGTCTTATTTTTTAGTTAGAGTCAAAAAGTGGTTCCATTCATCTAGAGCAGTGTATCATGGTTCGTTTGGAAGGCATAAAAGCAGGAACAGTAGGACCAACTAGGTATGAAACCCCAACCATTTGTGGAGCTTTCAATTTATAAAATAATATTAATACATATATATATATACATAAGAGTATACATTGTATACATACGTACAAGTATATTATACATATATATATATGTATATATCAACCTTGGAGCCATATGCTGGGTCAAAAAAACGTGCCACAGAAGAAAAAAGGCTCATCAAGGTGCACCCCCAATTCTTGCAACTCTGACACCAAGAACTTTCGAACTTTCGAACTTTCAGGGGAAGTTTCAACCAGAGGAAAAACACATTATGGTACAAATAATGGTACTTTTTTTTGAATGGACCCCCCAAGAATAATGGCTTATTTTTGGCTAATTCAGTAAAAACTTGGAGGATCACCCCAGTTTGATCGACGAAATCCGATCGCCAGGGTTAGGATCTCACGCCATCGCGGATCCCAAAAACCACCAATTTATTGCCAGAATAAACCATGATAAGCCATAATAAGCCATAAATTAGGGGCTAATTATAGCTGTTTGGTGGTTTTTGCCTACCCCTCTGAAAAATATGAGTCAGTTGGGATGATGACATTCCCAATATATGGAAAAATGTTTGAAACCACCAACCAGCCATGAATTAGGGGCTAATTATAAGCAATGAATATCCATGAATTCGAAAGCACTGAGGCGAATCGTGTCAACATCCACTGTTTCACCTGAACATGGAGCATCAGTCTGATACATGTAGGGAAGCAATGGAACGCCAGATTCTACGACGTCTTCAACAAGTAATCTACACGGCAAATAAAGGAACTTCCCAATGCCAGGTTCTGATTTTTCATGATATTTTCGCATCAAAAATGGCTGAATTTCATATTCCCAGGTGATGCAAATGGAGTGACAAATATTTATTCATGCGATTTCCTATTCCAGAATAGCCCACTTCCATCCATAACCAATCATTTGCAAGAAAATGTCCCATCAACAAATTGCGTTTCATAATGCTTCCCATTGCCAGCTTAGTTGCGCCATGGTTGTCTCTTTATATTGTATATGTGCGGTGGTGCCCCCACAGTTTTATACGTTTATTGCTTTATAAACATATAGTAACCAGTTCGATAGATTTACCATACACCCAAGAATGGAATTATAAACCAACTTAGATAAGTATGGGGCACAGCCTTGTATCTATAGTGCTGGATTGGCGGTGCTGAGTCCCCCATGTTGGTTGAACCAAGTTGAATTCCCATATTTCACCAACAAAAACATCCTCAAATTGTGGTTCGTAAACTGTTAACTCCTCATCTTTGCCATGTTTCACCGACATTCTTCGATTTTTGCTCATATTTATAGCATTTCTGTGGGATATCTACTGATGTTCGTAGATCAGGACATATTTTTTTAGGATATATCCATGATTTATGGGACATTTCAATGGCATATTTTTTTATGGCATATCTGCAGATCACCATCGCATCGAGTGGCCATCTGAGTCCACTTGCGGATGTCCAGCGCGGCGGCCGCTGGCAAGGAGAAGGCCAAGATGATGCCAATGACCTGCCGTCTTTGCGGATTGGGCCCCTTAGATGACCATCCAGTTGCCGGATTTCAGAAGTTGTGATTTGTTTCTACGGTTTTTGGTAGATATTTCACGAACTCATAGGTGATATATAAACTCCAATAACTATGGTTTTTGTTGGTGATAGATCTATAGTATTCATGGGGTTTATAAACCAACACACATCACTGGGGGGTACCATCCTGCAGTAGCATCTTACCTTGGGGATTTGTTCACTGGGATTGAAATTAGGTGAACGGTGATTGAATGGGATTAGGAATCTATCTGGATTAGATGCGATTTGATGGAATACCCGAAGGCAAACGTTTACAAACAAATATGGGACAAAATCATATCATCTTCATTCACAGTCGTTTTTCACATCTATATTAGTTTACCAGAGGGTACATGTTACCAGAATTTAGTTTGTTTACGGTAAAACTGAAATTTACATATATTACGTAAAATTGCTTAGCAATAGTCTTAAATGATGGTCGTTTGTCGATGTAACTTTACCATTGCTATTCAAAACAAACTGTCAGATTGTTCTATCAGTTGGTTGACAAATAAAATACGTACATATCATATCATAACAGAACATAACATTTTATATAATATTATATTAATTTATATTGATATGTGCTACATTGCAGTAATCTAATTTAGATCATATCATATGATGTTATCTAAATGTTTCTATATTGTATTGTCTGTTATATCAAATTGTAATTGTACTATATTACATTACATTACACTATGATATGTTATATTATAGTGGATTGCAATACATTGAATGATTACATTAGATATGTTAATTTATATTGAATGATCTTGTGCTTTATTGACTTGTGTTATTCAATTTCAATACTATGACATAATATGTCAATTTATATGTGTATGTATTGTTTATATTTTAAATAAATACAATTATATACATATACATGTACACATACATGTACAATATGTATACACCTGAAGTTCCAAATGCCAATTATTCCATTTTGTTCCAAATACCTTAGTGAGACACCTCGCCATAGTAGGAGACCAAGGCCACCCACCATCTCTTGTTCGGTCCTGAGATCAGGCAACTGCTTGGGGTGCCCGGGTGATTTTAATCATCGAACATGGTGGAGTGACCAACAAAAAACGGGGATTTAACAGGGTTGAATGGGTAATAATTTGAGGTGATGTTTGGATGTGTCAGAAAATGGGTAGTTTACCCCCAACATGTTTTTTTAATGGAGAACATGATGATCAACCATGATTTAAACCAGTAGATTTAGGGGTACCCTACTTTCAAACAAAGCCGTGTATGCGTGTGTTTTGCATTTGAGAAAGCTGACAGCCTGGGTTTAGAAGGCAAAACGCTTGGGAAGTGATTGTTGCCACTTGCCTCACTTGTTCATCTTTGCTTCAATCTGTTTTGCTTCCAAGGGGAGAAGCACAAAAGGTGGTGAGGGAAACAAAGGATCTCAACTGCCAGGAAAATTACGACACCATCCTACCATATGGCTGTGTCTGAAAATGCTGTATTTCCCGAAGATATGTGGGGTTTTCGAAAAAACTTTACTAAATTTCATAATAGACCAATGGATTTTCGGATACTCCATTAGTTCCATTTAGTTTATATCTTCAGAAAACCCCAAGAACCTCGTTCAACCCCCACCCGCCATCGGCGTAGCTTGTGCCGAGCAGCGAAATGCCAGGTATCCCTGCACCTCGGAGAGTTTCTGCATGATGCGAGATCCACGATCAACAGGATCTCTTAGAGATAACTGTATAACTAAATGGAGGACAGAACATCTTCATGGAGGATATCACATCGTTATGGAGGACCAAATATATTTCTGGAGGACAGAACATCGTTATGGAGGATTTATGGAGGACAAAACATATTTCTGGAGGACAGAACATCTTTATGGAGGATATAACATCGTTATGGAGGACAAAACATATTTCTGGAGGACAGAACATCTTTATGAAAGATATAACATCGTTATCGAGGACAAAACATATTTCTTGGAGGACAGAACATCTTTATGAAAGATATAACATCGTTATCGGGGACAAAACATATTTCTGGAGGACAGAACATCTTTATGGAGGATATAACATCGTTATTGAGGACAAAACATATTTCCGGAGGATAAAGCATCTTTATGGAGGATAAAACATCGTTCTTGAGGACAAAACACATTTCTGGAGGACAGAACATCGTTATATGGAGGATACAACATCGTTATTGAGGACAAAACGTATTTCTGGAGGACAGAACATCTTTATGGAGGATACAACATCGTTATGGGGAACAAAACATATTTCTGGAGGAAAGAACATCTTTATGGAGGATAAAACATCGTTATTGAGGACAAAACATACTTCTGGAGGACAGAACATCTTCATGGAGGATATCACATCGTTATGGAGGACCAAACATATTTCTGGAGGACAGAACATCGTTATGGAGGATTTATGGAGGACAAAACATATTTCTGGAGGACAGAACATCTTTATGGAGGATATAACATCGTTATGGAGGACAAAACATATTTCTGGAGGACAGAACATCTTTATGAAAGATATAACATCGTTATCGAGGACAAAACATATTTGTGGAGGACAGAACATCTTTATGGAGGATATAACATCGATATTGAGGACAAAACATATTTCTTGGAGGACAGAACATCTTTATGAAAGATATAACATCGTTATCGGGGACAAAACATATTTCTGGAGGACAGAACATCTTTATGGAGGATATAACATCGTTATTGAGGACAAAACATATTTCTGGAGGACAGAGCATCTTTATGTAACATCTTCGGGGAGCAAAAAACATCTCTATGGAGGATGTAACATCCTTATGGAGGACAAAAAATCTTTCTGGAAGACAGAACATTTTTTTGGATCTTTTTGGAGGATACAACATCTTTTTGAAGGATATAACATCTTTCTGGAGGAAACACATCACTTTGGAGGCTATAACATCTTTATGGAGGATATAACATCTTTATGGATTATATAATATCTTTATTGATGTTAAAAACCAATTGCATGATGACATTAACATCTTTACGGAGGATACAACATCTTTATGGACGATATAACATCTTTATGGGGGATATAACATGATTGGACTATATGAAGGATATAGCATCATAACTACATGGAGGGCATATTTTTTATATCAAAACTATATGAAAAATAAAAACTCTTTATGGAAGATGTAGCATGATGTGAAATACCTACAGTATATAGCTGGTAAGTCCCTGTAGTTGATATAACCAACCTGATTCGCCAATAGTTGATAAAACATTAAAGAACATTATATAACTATAGTTGATGGTTTTATAAAGTCTGTAAAACCAACAAACATCACTGGGGGGCCTCACCTTGAATGTATGAGACAATGCTGGTGAAGTTAAGCCTGGAGTAATTTCATATTCTTTGGTTGCTGGAGAAAAAAGTGGCTTGCCCAAAAAATATTAACATATGTTTTGAAAACACGTGCTCCTAAATGGTAGAGTGACGGGCAAACCCCTCAGTTTGCCCGCGCCGACGCCGGCGACATGTCCGAACATCAAAAATCAGTGTGTTTTGTGGGACAAAATGCACATGTCCATGATCATGGCTTTCATCTTGCAATGCACAACTTAGCTACCTGTGCGTTTAATGTTAAAACAACAACAACAACAACAGCAACAGCAACAGCAACAGCAACAGCAACAACAACAGCAGCAACAACAACAACAGCAACAACACCAACTGCAACAACAACAGCAACAACAACAACAACAACATCAACATCATCATCATCATCAGCAGCAGAAGCATCATCACGATCATCATCATCATCATCACCATCATCATCATCAAACCCTTGCTGCAGATCTTCAATGAATGTAGAAGTTTAACGGGGGTGGTATTGAAGATCTTCAATGAATATAGAAGTTTAACGGGGGTGGGAGAATTAAACCCTTATTGAAGATCTTCAATGAATATAGAAGTTTAACGGGGGTGGGAGAATTAAACCCTTATTGAAGATCATCAATGAATATCGAAGTTTAACCGGGGTGGGGGAATTAAACCCTTATTGAAGATCTTCAATGAATATAGAAGTTTAACGAGGGTGGGAATTTATATTCCTAATACCCTTGTTGATCTGCCCAATTGAATGTAAAGTTTAACGGGGGTCGGAATTTATATTCCTTCAAAATCCCTAAGAAGTTGTGTGGGCGAACTGGGGGGTTTGCGCGTAGAGTTACTAGGAAAAGAAGGGCGCCCCCTCTATGATTAAACTGATGTCAACTGGGGGTTATATTTATTCCTATAGCTTAAATACCTTATTTGAAATCTGAAATGCGTCCAGTCAGGCAACAATGGAAGGCTGGGCTAAACAGCTGGGTAAAACCCAGTCCCATGCTCTTCCGACTTGGCTGCTATGGCTGATTATCCCTCCCTACCCCCAACTATGGTATTAATCCCATCCCCCTAATATTGAGCACCCCCTTAATGGTCGCAATTATGTGGAAATCCCCTACTACACCATGGTATCTAATGGGTGTTTAATATTAGGGGGAAGGGATTATAAACATAAATTTGGTGTAAAATGTCCATGTCCTTCCCAAAAAACATTTGTACATGCATATCTACTTTGTGAGTGCCTATATAGTCCCTGCAAAAGTTCCAAATCAATAAACGGCCGGCCCAAGTCCGGAACTCGCAATAAACGGCACAAACAGCAAAACACAATGCATGTTTAATCGTGTTCACCTTAGACATTGTGGTAATATTGTAGTTTTTATTCGTGTGTATATATATATAAATACAAGCATACGAGATTATACCTAGACGTGTGGGAAATGCAATCAAAACATACCCCTGGAGTCAAAACATACACCACCTGAAACACAAATATGTGTTAGTCTTCTAGTGGTTCACATGCTAGCGAATCATCCGATTCCTTTCACAAAAAAAATCTCTAAAACTCAGCATGCATCCACACACACGTAAATAATATCAACTATGTATCTGTATATATATATAAACAAGATACGTATACATATACATTTCTCTCATTCTGTAAATGCAAACAGATAATTGAAAATGATTATGTACACTTATGTATTTATCAGTGAACACGTTGATGATTGTTTATTTACTTAGTCATTCATATTTATTCAGCATTTTAACATAATGTATGGATATGTTCAAAACCATAGCACCCAATCATCATCCCCATGATCATCGGCCAAGCATCTCCAACGAAAATGATCCCCGCCGTCCAGGCTTCCATCAAGAGAATGACGCGCAAGCGTTGGTAGGTCGTCAGGGGTCCGTAGACCGGGTTGGAACTCTCCGAGGAGAAAAAGTAGAGGAAGGCGTTCCTGAGCTAAGCTGAGCTGAGGTGCCCAAATGATGTTTGTTGGCTTATAAACCCCATGAATACTGTAGATTCGAGATATCTAATAGATTCAATAGATATATCTACCACAAACCATGAACAACCTAGTTGTAAGCCAACTTAGCCAACTATGGGGCACCACCTTGTGTGATAAATGAGAAGAATCGTTTCTGAAGATAGAGGGATGGTTCCTGAAGAAGCGATCTTTGAGTTAAAGATACTTTACGTGACATTCTAACTGTTTTGGAATATATATGTATATACATAGATATAAACACACATCATATGATACACTGTTATATAAATATATGTATATATACATAGATATAAACACACAAAATGTGATATACTGTAATATATGTGATATATCATGATGCATGATGAGGACAAAAGTCACAGATGTGCTGGTGGTTCATTAACACATATTCCCGAAATATGGGATTGTTTGAGATAGAATACCCAAAACCCATGGTCGTCATTCCCTCCTGAAATGGATAAACATTGCAATTTGGGGTGTGCAAGTATGCCCTATTCTCAGACACACCCATATGAGTTAGTCAATACCGCAATATGCAAGTAAAGATACACTATCCTTTTCTGAAAACGGTTTTGAAACTAATCCATTAATTTTATTTTTGGTGATCTGTCGCAAGCATTGGCCCCGTCTTGAACGCATTTAGAACGGGTCTGACGGCTGAAGCAATGACAAAACTTGAGGTCGACAACTTTTCTGACTGAATATTATTGTTGTTGTCTAATCCCATCACCACATAAAACACCCCCTAGATGGTCCCAAATATGCGTAAAACCCCCTACTAAACCACGGTTTCTAGAGGGATGGGATTATATCATCGTTTTTTTTGATTTAATATGGTGGCTTATTGCCATTCTATCACCATTTGTATCACCATGACATGACCATTCGTCCTTGTGAATTGAACCGGAAAAGGTTCCCATGGCTGTTGAGTGACTTCAGGGGCATAATTGGAGAAGTTGTGGAACAAACCATCAAACTATTGCTGTTCAATTCTTGCTACGGCCAGCAACATGTCACTAAGAGACCAGTATATTTACATACATATGTATGTATGTAGGTAGGTAGGTATGCACTGTTCTTCTGTTTGTTTAAACATCCTGAAGCTGATTTCCCCTGGCAAAATGCAATGAAACAATACTTGCGCTATGTTCTCCTCAATAGCTTATTCTAATGATGTTTAAACTTGAAAATGCAAAAAACATGAACACATATGGAAAATCAAAAAACATAACTTCAAAACTGAAAAAAAACGGAAGCAAAATAAATGGGGACAAAATGACTTGTCCATTTGCATTTTTGTTTGCATTTACTTTGTTTCTTCGATTTGTTTTTTGGCTTTTATTTTGCATTTTTTGGCTTTTTTTCCCTGGAAAAAGCAAGCAAATGCAAAATAAAAGCCAAAAAACACAAATCGAGAAAGCAAAATAAATGCAAAAATGGGCAAGTCCATATTTGTTTCCCATTTTGTTTCCCTTTTTGACTTTCCTATTTTTCCCTTTTTTCCCCTTTTATTTTGCTTTTGTGTTTTTTTAGATTTTGCATTTTTTTGCTTTTTGGTTTTGCCATTTTTTTGCAAATTAAAAAATAAAATTTCCTTCGTTTCCCATTTTTGTTTTTTCCATATTCGCTTTTTGTTGTCTCCGTTTTTTTCAAGTTTGTCTGTTGAACATAAGACTTGCGCATACAGTCGCGCCGAGACTCTCACCATATCCAAGCTGAACTGTCTCCATGATCATGCAGAAAAGCATAGACAGTGGTGCTGTGACGTTGTGCACACAGGTGAGAACCACTTGGAGACCCTTCGACTCCTCGGCTCGCGGCTCAAGGATGCTCAAGGTGTCCGCAGATTTTTTCCACTTAACCATAGTTAATTGACCATTGATTGACCATTTTATTTACCCTATGTTCAATTAATATGGAAATGGTTAAATAGGTATGTTCCCAGCTTCACTCGCTTGAACCCCAATACACGTTCCCAATGATTTTCCCATGCCTCCGGTGTTCAAAAAGATCATCGAAATTCAACAGACAACCATCAAACACCCATATACCCTCTCGTAACTTAACAGTTTGCTATTGAAAATGGCACCTTTATAGTTGATTTACCTATGAAGGATGGTGATTCTCTACGGCTATGTTAGTTTACCAGAGGGTATACTTGTGTTTCAACAATATTGTGAATCCGAAAATTTGGGTGCTTAAGACCTATATTTGATGATTCACATCCACAATCTTTGATGGTCAAGTACCCATTTCTGATGGTTAAGTCCCATATGATTAAAACCACATTTACTACCATTTTGTTTCATGTAACATCCAATATGCATTTTTCCATGTTCTTCCCTTACAACATGTCAAAACAACCATGATCCTTCAATTTTTGGATGACAACCACATCTTTCCCGGGATTTGCATTCAGTTAACCTCAATGACAACCTCATTTTCCTCGGTTAAAACCACATTTTCCCTGTATTTTTCCATGATTTTGCCCATTTTCCACATGACTTCACCTGGATTTTCCGAACAGGCACCGATAGGCTGGGCACCATGGCCGCCAGCACGAAGCCGACATTGGGCACCAACGTCCAGGCGGTGCGCAGGCGGCGCTCCACTTTCTGCTCCAAGACGCTGGTGGCCAAGGGGTTGGTCTCGAAACTCACCAGGGGATACCTGGGATTTTGCTTCCTACCTGAGATATGTTTAGATATCTTTAGGTATCTTGATATGTATATATATATACATATAAGTATGATAATAATAGTAATAATAATAAGAATATATCTGTATGAATTTTGATATAATATGTGGGTTTTCCACAATCATACCTGGGGTAGTCTAGATATGGTTTCAAAATGTAATATATATATATATAAACATGGCTATGGATCAATACCTACAAATATAATATTTAGGGGTATGAACATCCATTTACACATCCCCGTATACTACGCCGTATACATATATCTTTATATATATAACGTGTAGGTTATATATTATTTTAAAAATAGGATACTTGGGATTCTAGGAAAAGATTTTCGCAGAATAATCATATTTGTTGAATGGACAAAAAGGGAGACAGTGGCTATCGATAATTAGTATATACACGTAGGTATCCCCAATCCTGAAGATATATTTCGTATCTATATATATATATGTATATGTATATATACATAAATTGAGACTTAGAAAACATCCTAAAATATCTGGGATACCTGCGATGTTCAATCAGATATGGTGGATGATGGTGGAAAAATATGTGTTTAATATATGGAATAAATATGGATATATGGGATGTGTAGACAAGTTGGTGAACATAACTCTAATAACGTTTCGGTTTATGGGGATGCATGGTTATATTTTTTTTACCACAGGATAGTCTGTGGATGGTTGCGAAATCCTGCACCACTTGGTAACGACTGGTAGCTTCGAAACATTGGGACTATAATGGGATTATACTGCCGGGATATCCCCAATCCTGAAATTATACCCTATGGATCCAAGTACATTCTTCGGAAGTGTTTGGGGTTCAGTACCTTCTCAGGAGGTGTTTGGATCCACAGGGATACCTGTTGATCTTACCAGCAGGGATACTGTGGGTGAACATATGTGTTGAATATGGAATATATGGGAGGCACTGGGTAGATGATAGATACATATATACATATATATATATATACACAGAAATATATGCTTTATATATTGTAATATATAGGCGGGTACAAAATGAACAGAATGAAATGTCATGCACTATCATGGGACAAAATGGAGTTACTGTGATTTAAGTCATATTGATTGGGCTTTGTGGATTGGGCATTGAAGTAAACGGGAAGAAAATGGTGTAAGTATATGGCTAGATAATTATAATTCACCAATCTGAAATAACGTAAAGTCATTTCGGATACGGATACAGTACCTACCAAGGGATACTTTATATATATATATACAGATAGAGATGTGATATATGATATATTCTTCTGGAAACTGCCAAAAATGGGTCTGTAGCCAACCACAGCGCGCATACAATGGGAATACGAAACCATATCCTGCACAACAAACTGACCTTTTGAATTGAGTGTCATTCAACAACCAGGACTTCAAACATGTAGGCTATGTAAAATGTAAACCCCTATTCATGGGGGATGACCATCATTTTCCCATCGTTCTCCACATTTTCCCACAACTCCCACATCGTTTCCCAGGATATTCCATCATATACAGAAAATATTCCACTATTCCATAATTTTCCACCATGTTCTAAGCTGTGCTCAGCGACCTGGACTGGTCCTTTCAGCTGGGCGCGTACTTTCCCACATATGGATTGAACCCCCTGAGAAAGGGCGTCTTTAAAGGAAAACAATCTAGGAACAGATGGTTTTTCATTTTTTTTCAACGGCCTAAAATTGGTAAATCCTGATCTTTCATTGCTGAAGTATCCCCGATTCGGGGATGACATCAAACCCTATAAAAAGGAACCAAGGGCTAGCTGAACCGGGGTACCTTCAATACATGGTTTTCTGTGGTAAAATAACTCAATCTAGTGTACCCTGTGACCCTATGAAAATGGAACACGAAAACTCGAAGTATTAGTGATCAAATTGCGTATTGGCAAAAAAAACAAATTGTAAATGGGTGTGACTACGAACATCCCGTGGAAATTATGTTTCACCGAACAAAAATGTAGATAGATCACAAGGGGTGCTACTAACATTTTCTGGGCATTGCCGGTAAGAGACCAACAGCGATAGATCCAGAACGTGTACCTCATTGCAAGGCGATGCCGCTCTTTTGACTGGGAATTCATCAACAAAAGTGGCGGCGCAACAAAAAACAACTGGAGGCGAACACAACATATAACAGCCGGACTGTGCCTGGTTAGTTTCATTGCGGTGCGGTGATAACGTCTGAACATTCCACTACTATTTGCGTGGCTGGTGTTTCAACAATCATGGGGATTTCACTTGAAAGGCATGATTTGAGTAGCAAACGTGGGCATGTCACCAATGACTATCAATAAATGTGAGCAAGGTATACCGCCGCTCCTAGCGCATTCGGCCCTTTTTACCTTCGCCACTTGCAAGTGCAACATCTCATTTGAAGTTCTTTGAGAACCTTGGGAACCATTTGCCGCAAGGCATGGCGATGATTGTATCGCCAGTGCCATTGGTAGACATGGTTCCAGATCTCAGCATTCAGAAGTTTGTTCTTCGCATTCTTTGTATGGACACTGTTTGGAATGAAATCTTTCAAGTAATCCCAGCATTTGTCCGAAGTTTGCGTGCCAACTGTGATCTTTCAACCATTTTGTCTTCTCACTTCTCTGGCAAAGTCCAGCCACATGCTTGACTTGGTAGACTTCGATTCGCCACCCCCCCACCCCACCAGAAGCTATGTGAAAGCAAGTAAAGAAGACGTGTAGAGCGTAGCATCGAAGATGTGAGCAAGTGCACGGAGACGTTGTCACACCCCCCCACCCCACCCGAAGGTATGTGCAATCATGTGAAGAAGACGTGCGTGGATGCAGACATGATTGCGCATAAAACGTATTGAAACGCAAACAAATGCAAACTCACCGGGTCCGCTACGGGCGGTGGTAGAATAAAGAATCACAGGATAAATAGAAAATTCAAAGTCATGACAATCACCTTTTAGGTGTGATCATGGGTGATCCCTCCAATGTGTCTAAAAAACCATTACTGTATAAATCCCATGTTGACATTCTGCACGGCTATAGGTTGGGATTTTCAGCAACATCAACACAATTAAAGGACCGGATAACCCCACATGTTACCAACTTCTCTAGATTTAGACTGGGCATAGAAAAGCAAGAAGGGAAGAGGAAGTATAAGAGTGATGGAGCGGTGATGGTGGGTGAGTTTGTGTGTGTGTATGTATGTTCAAGTACAGTGAGTGAGTGAGTGAGTGAGTGAGTGAGTCAGTGAGTGTGTGAGTGACTGCCACGCCTGCCATGCAAAAGCGGCGGAGACCCAAGGGACGCCAGGGCGTACATCCGAGCCCTTGGCAGTGCAGATTGTGCCACGCCTGCCACGCAAAAGAGGCGGAGACCCAAGGGACGCCAGGGCGTACATCCGAGCCCTTGGCAGTGCACATTGTGCACGCCTCTGCCACGCAAATCCGAGCCCTTGGCAGTGCACATTGTGCCACGCCTGCCACGCGAAAGCGGCGGAGACCCAAGGGACGCCAGGGCGTACATCCGCCCTTGGCAGTGCACATTGTGCCACGCCTGCCACGCAAAAGAGGCGGAGACCCAAGGGACGCCAGGGCGTACATCCGAGCCCTTGGCAGTGCACATTGTGCCACGCCTGCCACGCAAAAGAGGCGGAAACCCAAGGGACGCCAGGGCGTACATCCGAGCACTTGGCAGTGCACATTGTGCCACGCCTGCCACGCAAAAGAGGCGGAGACCCAAGGGACGCCAGGGCGTACATCCGACCCCTTGGCAGTGCACATTGTCCCACGCCTGCCACGCAA